GTGTGTGTGTCTGTCTGTCTGTTTGTGTCCGCGTGCGTGTCTGTCTGTGTGTATGTCTGTGTGTCTGTCTGTCTGTGTGTGTCTCTCTGTGTGTGTGTCCGTCTGTGTGTGTGTCTGTGTGTGTGTCTGTGTCTGCGTGTGTCTGTCTGTGTGTGTGTCTGTGTGTGTGTCCGTCTGTGTGTGTGTCTCTGTGTGTGTGTCTGTGTCTGCGTGTGTCTGTCTGTGTGTGTGTCTGTGAATCTGTGTCTATCTGTCCGTGGCTATTTGTCTGTGTGTGTTTGTGTGTGTCTGTCTGTGTGTGTGTGTCTCTCTGTGTCTATCTGTCTGTGTCTATCTGTCTGTGTGTGTGAGTGAGTCTCTCTGTGTCTATATGTCTGTGTCTATCTGTCTGTGTCTATCTGTCTGTGTGTGTCTGTGTGTGTGAGTGAGTCTCTCTCTGTCTATCTGTCTGTGTCTATCTGTCTGTGTGTGTCTGTGTGTGTCTGTGAGTCTCTCTGTGTCTATCTGTCTGTGTCTATCTGGCTGTGTGTGTCTGTGTGTGTCTGTGAGTCTCTCTGTGTCTATCTGTCTGTGTCTATCTGGCTGTGTGTGTCTGTGTGTGTCTGTGAGTCTCTCTCTGTCTATCTGTCTGTGTCTGCGTGTGTCTGTCTGTGAATCTCCCTGTGTCTATCTGTATGTGTCTGTCTGTGTGTGTGTCTGTCTGTCTGTAAGTCTCTCTGTGTCTATCTCTCTGTGTGTCTATCTGTCTGTGTCTATCTGTCTGTGTGTGTGTCTGTGTGTGTGAGTGAGTCTCTCTGTGTCTGTCTGTGTGTGTCTATCTCACTGTGTGTGTGTCTATCTGTCTGTGTCTATCTGTCTGTGTGTGTCTATCTGTCTGTGTGTGTGTCTGTGTGTGTGAGTGAGTCTCTCTGTCTGTCTGTGTGTGTCTATCTCACTGTGTGTGTGTCTATCTGTCTGTGTCTATCTGTCTGTGTGTGTCTATCTGTCTGTGTGTCTGTCTGTGTGTGTCGTGTCCGGCAAAACAACTCCCCTACCTCCTCGCTGTGGCGGTCAGTGCCATGGGCGGGAGGGCCAACTGAGAATTTCCATTCTCCTCATTGCATTTGTAGCCACCGCAGATTGGAGGGGCTGGTAAACCCCTCCACCTTCTATTAAATCTACCACAAATCCACGTGAAAATTATCCAACGAAGCTTGTGCAGGATGCCCCGAGGGGACAGGCGTCAATGACGTCTCCTGGCCAAACCCCATTTGGCGGAGCCAGGAGATTGAATCCTTGGAGCTCCTCCAAAAACAACAACAAAAAAACCACTTCGTGTGGCCACGTGGAATGTTCGAACACTCACTTGCGTGGGAGATGTTTCCACTCCACTGTTGGCAGCTAGACCGGTACCGCCTGGATCTCTCTCTTTGTGGTATTCAAGAGGTCCGGTGGACCGGCTCTGGCTCCTGTCGCCATGAGGGGTGGACAGTCCTCCACTCGGGGCAGGAGACTGCCAAACAACAGGGAGTGGCTCTTCTTCTGAACAAAAAAATGAAGGGGGCGTGGGAGCGTGGCGGTGAGGTGTGGGAAGCTGTAAGCCCCAGGCTACTTTGGGCTCGCCTTCCCATCAACCAGAGGCGAGGAGTGGTGGTCGTGGTTACTTATGCCTAGTGGCAGCTCCTGCAAAATCTCTCAGGGGGGGCAAATGTCTGGATGATTGATAAGGATAAGGTCCACCCATGCAATGGATAAATTAACAGCTTAAGCATGTAAAGGCAACTTCACTTCTTTAATATTAATGAAAAATAAAGTGACTCTTACAATACATCTCCTTGTTCGTTTCTATACTCACTATTAATAGAATCCACTCAAGTTTCTTTTATTAAAGATTCCACTAGGTGGCGACAAATTATATTGTTGGATGAAACGTGCTTACGTATGATGACGTAAGCACGTTAGGGCGAGCCCTCCCGGAAGCCGTAGATAATGCATTGCAGCGCCCCCCGTTCGAAAAAAAACATCTTACAATGTAAGTCTACGGGAACACTCGGGGCGATTCTCAGCCGGAGTGAAATCGCCCAAAAAGAGGCGGTACTCCACAGAACGTGACATGACGCTGATTGGACTATATCCAGAGGCTGACAGTGACGGCTCGCGTGACTCTGTGGTTCAATGACATTGGTGGTGCGTCGCCCAATCGCCCTAATGAAGAAACCGCCCCTGCTTATGCCCCCACTGAAGATGAACATCAGTGGAGGGATGCAGGCAAGGCCGATGCCTTCCATGACATGTCACGGGTGCTGGCTAAAGTGGCCCCTCGGGATAGAGTCATCTTGTTGGGTGACTTCAATGCCCGAGTTGGCCATGATGCTGGCACCTGGTCTGGAGTGATTGGAGGGCATGGGCCAGATCAGCTCAATAACAACGGTAGGAGGCTGCTAGATTTTTGTGCAGCCCATGGGCTTGTAATTACCAACACGCTGTTCTGGCATCGGCGCATCCACACAACATCATGGATGCATGCCGGGTCCAAGCAAGAACATCTGCTGGACTACATAGTGATGGAACAGCGGATGCGAAGCCTATGTCCATGACACCATTGACCTACCGTGGAGCTGATCTGCCCACTGACCATCGGCTAGTCATCTGTAAGATGCGCCTGCCATTCTTCCACTCCGGTGGTGGGTGTACACTCAGGGCCCCATTCAAACCTACAGGTGGCCTGGTCTCAGCTAGCTGATGAAAGATTGCAAGCAGGAATTTCATCATCGCTTGCAGCAAGCTGAGGTTGGCATCGTCCCCCACTCCTCCTGATGTCGAGGGGAAATGGGCGAGGTTTACGACTGTGACTCATGCAGCTGCAATGGTTGCTTTGGGTACACGGACCAGACCTCCCCAGAGACCCTGGCTGACAGAGGAGGTGTTCAGGCTTGCTGAGAAAAAGCGACAGGCCCACTCCTATGACCGGCTCCAGTTTAACAGCAGAGGTCTCACTCCGAATCAGTCGAGCAGCAATATCTTTTCATCGGTTACGTAACGCTGCTGTGTGGAAGCTACCTGGTCTGTCGCTCCGCACGAAGCTTCGGGTCTACTCGGCCACAGTCATTCCCTCCCTTCTCTACGCTTGCGAAACGTGGACCCCCCTAATGGAGCATCTTCGCCGGTTAGAAACATTAAGGCTGGCTTGCCTACGATCCATCCTGGGTTTAACCTGCAGGCTGGATTGTGTGAGGAGCTCACAAATAATTGAAAGATCTGGGCAAAGTCCCATCGGTGAGCTCCTCCGGCAGGCAAGGCTGCGTTGGCTGGGTCATGTAGCCCGCATGCCCAGCCACCGCATGCCTAAACAGCTTTTGTTCGGCCGGATCGAGGGGGCTAAACGGGCGCGGCACGGGCTAGAGAAGAGATGGAGTGATGTGGTACAGGAGGACGTGGAGCTGAGTGGACTTGCCGATGACTGGTACCAGCGGTGTCAAGATCGGCCTCAGTGGAGGAGGCTCGTGAAGGACGCTACTGGGCAGTTGGAGGCAGTCGCCCTCCAACAACAACGGGGGTCGGAGGAGCGACGCTCACAACAACGAGCGGAGCGCCGGGTGGCTAAAGCACAGCAAGTTGGCACAGTAGGGGGCACAGGTGGTGCATCAGCCAGTCATCTCGGTCATCTCGGTCAGTCGACCCGTGGCACCTGCTGGGTCTGCCCCGTGACCTCCTGCCAGCGGGCGTTCGACACTTCACGTGGTAGCCTCAAGGTGCACTTGGCCTGGCACAAGCGTCGTGGTGACGTCACCGCCACTTAGTGGCGAATGGCGGTTGTTGTTGTTGTTGAGTGTGTGTGAGTGTGTGGGGTGTGAGTTTGTGTGTGAGTGTCTGTGTGGGGGGTGTGTGTGTGGTGTGTGTGAGTGAGTGTGTGGGGTGTGTGTGAGTGTGTGGGGTGTGTGTATGTGGGGTGTGTGTGGGGTGTGTGAGTGTGTGTGGGGTGTGTGGGGTGTGTGTGAGTGAGTGTGTGTGAGTGTCTGTGTGGGGTGTGTGTGTGTGGCGTGTGTGTGAGTGAGTGTGTGGGGTGTGTGTGTGTGGGGTGTGTGTGGGGTGTGTGAGTGTGTGTGGGGTGTGTGTGTGGGGTGTGAGTGAGTGTGTAGTGTGTGAGTGTGTGGGGGGTGTGGGTGTGAGTGAGTGTTGGCGTGTGTGTGAGTGAGTGTGTGGGGTGTGTGTGTGGTGGTGTGTGTGGTTGGGGTGTGTGAGTGTGTGTGGGGTGTGGTGTGTGGGGTGTGTGAGTGTAGTGTGTGAGTGTGGGGATGTGTGGGTGAGGTGAGTGTGTGTGTAGTGTGGTGTCTGTGGGGTGTGTGTGTGTGGTGTGTGTGGCGTGTGTGTGAGTGAGTGTGTGGGGTGTGTGTGTGTGTGTGTGTGGGGTGTGTGAGTGTGT